TAAAATAGCAAAATAATTTATTTTATAGAATGACATGTAAAACATGGGAAAAAAAGAAGAAGACAACCAGATTTGTTTTACAACAGGCCATGGAAGGGTTAGATCCCTAGAGGAGCAATACAGATGATTCTGAAACGTATTAAACACCTCTAAGGAAGAAGTTTCACCTTGATAGCAACATTAGAAAAACTACCCTAAATGATACTGTGTGTAGCAAGAGGCTGCTCAGCCATGTAGGAGATGTAGGCAGAGAGCTGATGGAGCAGAAGGAGACTTTTTAAGCAAGGAGGCAGAGCATTCAGAAATGAAAGAATCTGAAACATGGGTTTGCCAGAATAATTTTCTGTGAGTTTTAGTGGGCCTTCTCTACTCTTTAGGGGTTTCCATGAATGGTTGTACTGCTGAGAGTGCTGCATTCTGACCACAAGCCATGATGAAAGGGCAGAGGATAGAACTGAGGAGGTGACAAACCATTACCCTTATTCTGGATGAGAATTCATTTCAGAAGTGACAGTTTTAGTATAAACAAAGGTGCAGTAAGATTATTTTTTTCCCCCTACTTAAACAATGTTTCATTCTTAAATGGTGACACATTTCTACCATTCAAAGACTACAGAGATACCTAACTGTGAAAAACAAATCATAGGTGCTGTCAGAGGCTTCTCCCTCAGATGCCTTCATATCAAGTACATTCAGCGCTCCAATGCATGAATCGACACGAACCTCTGATGTGTATCCAACTGCACTGGGGTGGAAAGGCCTTGTGCTGCAAAGGGAATCTGGGGCTGTGCTTCACATGGACTTTTTGGTCCGTGCCTTTGAGAAATGATGACCTGAGAACATACAGTCGCATATCTATAGTGTCTATGTGTGCTATTTAAATAGATATTTCAGATTTTAATGTCAGATTAACATTTAGATATCCCTGCTTGAACTGCTGTTAAAGTGGGGGGAAAAAAAGAAGAAAGAAAGCATAAATAAAAGAAGCATTCAATAAACTGGAATATTTAAAATAGCAAAGAATTGAAAAAAATAGTGAAGAACTATTTTGTTCATATTCTTAGTAACATTTGTTGCAACAAAATGCAGCATTTCTAGTACCTCACTTGAAGATCATCTCCTTTTTCTCATACATAGAGTTGCTTTTTCTCATACATAGAGTTGATGATAGTCAGAGAAAACTGGGATTTTCATTGCCTTCTCTGAATTTCTCTCTCCCACCCCCATTGCCCTTTCAGGCATAGGCTTAGACACACCAGAGGCATTTTCAAGACAGTCTTGTCTGAAGCAAATATTTCTTCGACGCCTTCTTTTCCTCCCAGCTTTTGTTGCAGAGAAACACAGCTTTCTAGGCGAGTAATATGGAAATCACAGCCAAGAATACTTCTGTATGTCCTGAGAATACACAGGTTCTTGGGGTGGATGTGCACCTATATACAAAATAGAGCTGAAAATTACGTGAGCAAGCGAAAGCAGGCTAAGTATCCACCATATCCTTTTATTTTATTTATAACTTAGAAGCCTTCAGCCAACCTGTGTTAATTATATAAACTGTACTACAACATGATTTTGTCTCTGCTGGGTAATTTTCCTCAATGTTTCAGGTCAGTAAACGGTTTGGGGTTTGCTTTTTTAAAATTTTACTACATTAATATCTTTAATTTAGTTATTGTTTCCTGATGTCTGACAGATACTCTAGAGGGTCTTAACATACTGCACCCACACTGTTCTTGTTCTCAGCCAAATTGCTGTATTACAGTACATTACTAAAAAAAGAATTTCTTAATTCTCCTTGTCTAGTCACAGAATCATTGGGCCCCAGCTCTTAATTAAAACATTTAGCACTTATTAAGGTTTTCATTTCATTATTTAGAAATACTTTGCTATAATAAGCTTACAAAATTAGGAAAAAAAGTAACCAAGTACCTATACTTTCATGTGTTATTCCTAGAATATTTTTGACCTAACTGACTTTGGGATGAAAATATTCCCATTTTTTATGAATTTCATGCATTACCAAAACTTTAAAGACGGCTGAAAAAACAGGAAAATCTTGTATTGCTCTTTGCTCCTTCTTTTTGTTGAAGTGGGTCTTCCTCCATAACGAATGCAGAATTCTAAATAAATCTTTCCCATAAGTCTTTCAAACCTTAAAAATCTTCAAGCCCAGAACCTCATGGAGAAACTGCTGGAGTACAGGTCCTACCTCTCCCCAGAGCATCAGCAATAGGGAGCTTGTGGGGAGGGACTCTGCACTAACCAGCCGCATTCACTCGCAGCTCAGAGGAAGTACAGTAGGTACTGAGGGACTTCACCATTTTTTCCCCTTTTTTTGCAAGACTCTACATTTCCTTCACTTGGCTTTGCAGATAAGAAAGTGGAAACTGAGGATTGCTGCCTTTGTCGGCTGGAATATTTCAGAATTTTGATGGAAGCTCATTTAATGCGTTTTCCTGAGTTCAGGTTGGCTGTTTAGAAAAGCATTTCTCCTTAGAGAATCTCTACCGCTGTTCAGCACTGTCACTGCTAAATGGGACCAAACTGTTCACTGGTCTGTGAACACTGAGCAGGGCAGCCCTCTTTGCAACTGTGAATATACCTCCATACTCCACAGTAGGCAGTGGGATAAAAATGTCTAAGTTAACACAGAATGGGCACATTCATTTACATGGTGTAATGAAACACTGCTAGGGCCTTTAATGTGTGCCTGTTTTACACTGTGCCTGCACTAAAAGCCTGTTTGAAAAGGAGGTGAGGACAGAAACTTCATCTACAGGAAGGTATATATACAGATATTTCTATATGAACATGAACCTATGCCCGAGTTAAATATCACATAGATACACTTTAAGCTCGCTGAACACTTCAGGAAGAAAATAAATGATGATGATGTTCTTGAGGTTACAGGATTAAATTGTGCACACACATGCATTGAGACAAACACTCCCAGTGCTGTTTTATACTGAGCTTTGTGAAGGTGTGTAGCAGAACTTGAGAGTGGAAAAATACTGGATTGAATATTTAGGATTTTGGAGATATTTGGTATATTTCATCTTGACTCTCAGCTCTGCCACACTCAGAAACCAAGTTCATATGGAAAACCAGTATGTTTTGTAAGATTTTAATATCCCCTAAATGTATACTTGAAGCTAAAAGAGATTCTTTTTCTAGGGGAAGACAAGTTAACAACAGCTGAAAATTTCTGTGTTGCTGACAGTAGACTAAAAAGTAACTTGAAGGAAAAAGTCTTTGGGAGTTTTTTAGTCTTCATTCTTTTGCTAGAAGTTGAACAATATGAACTCTCAGGCTCAGAAAAGCAAAATAAACAAAAAAATCTCACAAACAGTTTCAAATTCTGCCCTAAATCTTTGTCTTATAGATCACTAGGTTTTCAAATGAGTTTTTTTATTGAAAATATCTTGAGCATAAAGGTTTTGTTTCCTTTTTCCTTCTGTAGAACCACAGCAGTGGACAGGTCTCATCACACTTTTCTACACAGAACAGTTCACTTTGGGGTGCTGGTGCCTCAGATGGCTGATCTGGGTTGCACTGTGAGTTTCTGGTACTCAAATGGCACCTTAAAGGCATCTTGTAAGGTGCAGAGTCATATTTAACTTTTTCTTAACTTCCTAGCACCAGCTGCGAGACAAGCACTCACTCATTGGTGCACTAACTGCTGGGATTCCTCAGGCGTCCCCTGGAAGTCTGTGTGGATCATAATCTATAGAAAAGCAGTATGTGTTGGGGTTTTCTGTCCTACCCTTGCACAAAAGTGGATCTGGTACCTGGTCTGATGCAGCTTTCCTGACAAATGCTCCTTGTAACTTCCCAGCTTGAAAAGCTTGTTTTGGTAGAAGCTCAGCTAAGAACTGTAAGGAGAGTGCTGTGACACTCAATGCAGACTGAGAGAGCAGCAGGGATATATTAGTGATTGAAATCACGGATCTTAATTTTAAGCCGAGAAAGAAAGTTCTTGAACTTTATTGGAAATCTTTTCCTCGTTATTACCCAAACCATTTGGGATAGCCTATTACCTTAAAAAACCCTCAATTTAGATTGCTGCTAGACCCCTTTCAAGACTTCTAAGCTTGCAGCAGGGAGGTAAAGAGCTAATGTGTTATCTGTTCTAATGAATATGAAAATTTATGAAATTATGAAAGAAATAAAAATGAAGGGCTCCCTAATTTGTAGGGAAGGCTCTATTTTTGCTAATTTTACAATCTCTTCCAGAACATGAATGTTTTACTTTAAGGAATTTGCACGAGAAATAAAGCTAAAAGTTCTGTGGTAATAGTGATAGGTGTCTACCCATAGTGTGTGGGCTTTCCTATATTTTTCCCTTAATAAATATAATATTTAATCAGGTTAATGCCGATTGTTTTATATCATTGAACTAGTCACTTGACAGTTTATTAAATTCAGAATATTTTAAACACTTTAGGGAATTTTAGAAATTCTTCCAATCTTCTAGGATTTTTCAAGGACCGACACCTGTCTAAGTGACAAATAGTGATAAATAAGAGAATTAGACCCACTAGGCTTCAAGAACCCTCTTTATTAGTTGTTACTTACCTATCAGTGAACTGCTGCAGAAGCAGAGGCCATGATTGTGTTCATCTGCTATCAAATTATGTCATTTATTTTTGTCATAGTTTTCTGTGTAAAAAGCCATTGTAATAAAAACAAATACTCCATTTCGGCAGAATTTTTACAGCTTTGTTTAATCTCTTTATCATGGTCTGTTGATGCATCTTACAAAGCAAGGCATAGAATACCAAAGAAAATGCTAAATTAGAATCTTTTAACAAGTAAATTTTTAAAACTGTTGAATTAAACATGGCAACATTTCTTTGCTGGCTGAATTAATGTTCATTCGTGCAGAAAATTTTGAATGTAACATTATTTAAGCAATTTAAAAGTGAATTAAAGATTCATCCATTGTATCAGGTATCTGACTTCAGGCTAACATTTTAATCTCAATCATTGTTACAGTGTTTGCCATTCAAAAACTCTGAGAGATAAAGATGAAGGTTAATTCATGCAGAAAGAAGACTCAGTTCCTTGTTGATAAGTATGGTTGGCTATCAGGGAACTGCAAAATATGCTAATGGAGTTATTGTTTACTTTAACATATTAGGTAAGTTATACTTGCTTGAATAATTGTTTTCAGGTTTTGCATTTCAGATTTATTTTTTGGTTTGCATTGTTTTCATAGCTGCTGCACTGACCACAGAAGGACTGTGTTTTTCCCCTGTTGTAAGCATACCCAGAGATTTTATCAGCACCTTTTGTAAATATGTTTGCAACAGCAGATTGACAAACTTTTCTATGGGGACTTGGTTTAAAGAACAATAGCTGTCACTCTTTAGCATTTTTCAATTTACTGAGTTATTGCCCTTCTCTGACATTTTTTCATCAGAAGACCTGATTCATCTCCAGGTTAAACAGGTGCAATTTCTTCATCTAAGCTACTCTTGAATTTGAACTAGGAACAGTGAGCTCATGATCAGATTCGTTAAATAATATACAGACGTGCTGAATCGTACTGAGAAATACTCTTAATGGGGTTCTGACTTGGCCAAAACCGCTTTTCTTCTTGGAACAGACAAGAAAAGATTGTCCATAACACGACCAGAGCCTTCACCATACATCAAATATGCGAGGAGTCTGTGATTAGGATATATTTATAAAATAGAATGATAAAATATTCAGTATCTAACTTCACCAATTGAAGTCCTTACAACCACAGGGTGTGTTTCAACAGGCTGGAGGCAGAGAGCAAGAAACTGCTTCTGCCACAGGGAGTACTTTTCTTAGTGACTGAGATCAGGTGCTGTTTGTAACACAAAGGTTAATTTTACATTGAAAACATTAATTCTGTAGCTGTGGACACTTATGAAGTCAGGCAATGAAGTTATTTTTTTTGTAACTCGGCAATATTTCATAGGAGGTGTTCACTTCTCCCAGGTTCACACTTATTTTAATACCTTCTCTAAATAAAAGACTGCACTTTTTATGTAGCAAATAAATATCACTGGTATAAATTATATACTTTAAAATTAAACCTCACCACATATTTGTGGTGATCTTTTCCTTTCCCTTGCCTAATGCAGAATTGAAATATTCTTTCCCTTATGCAAACACTGGCAAGGCTGTTTCCCTCCTCTTCTTCTGTAATTATCAACAGAAAATAACTGGCTATCCTAAGAACTACATGTAATAACTACATTTTTACTGTAATTAGATGACCAGGTTAGGAAGCCAATTAGTCATTCCCTTTAGTAAAACTACAGGCACATTTCGTTGTATAATTACATACTCATAAACTGGTAGGCATTTTCACTCTGTTTTGTCAGATTCTGAACTGTCACATCTTGCTTAAAAAGTCCAGGTGTAGCAATCAGGACCTTTTTGTTTCCTCATGAGGGAGAAAGAGCAAGGATTATGTATTAATCCACAGTATGGGAAACAAGCTGGGTAGATATCAGTGAAATCAGATGATGCTGATATTTCTTAGCCAAAAAAACAATCTACAGAATTGAAAACTTCTTCAATTGATCTAATAAATTCAGGCTGTATTAAGATGTGCAGTAATCACAAAAAAAACCCCAACCAAAATTTGATTATTAAATGGTTATAAATATGCAAAAACCATTTCTTCAATTTTTTAGTAACGAAAGATTTATTAGAAACTAGTTGAATTTCAGTGGGTGGGGAATTACATGGATCAGAAACTACAGGGATGATTGATTGTTATCAGTAATTACACAGTCTGACTAAACACTTTCAGATTCCTAGTGCTACTGTTTCTTGTATCCAAGTGATTTTATTTTAATCTCTGTGAACATAAAAGGGAACAAATCTGAAAAATAACAAAAGAACAAAACTTCAAAATCTTCCTGTAAAGGCCCAAGGTTTAAGTTTTTGTAATGTTTGACTACAGTTATAGAACACCTTAAATTACTGATTGCTCATAGTACATAGAACTGGCAAGGGAAAAGGTCATTGAAGTTTTCCTTCTCTCTCTTGAGTGCTTCTCTATAATAGTCCTAACTTACAGCGGGGAATGTAAGCAGTGGTTCTTAATATTTACTGTTCTGATCTTATTCCAAATCAGTTCTGTGTGCCTTTAGCATGACTGAAAGTAGACTTACAAATGAAGATGCTGTGTCCTTTATTTTCAGTGTTGGAGAGTCCACGCTCCAGACAACCTCTTCCCAGGGGCTGGAGGGTGAGTATCACCTTTGGGGTAACATCTTTTCCTTCTCCCACACACCATAGGAACCCCGAGTTAACAATATGGGAGAGAAATGTACAACTACTAAAGACAGAGCAAGGTGTGCCAGTCACTCTTGGGATAGAACAGGCAGTCTCAATTGGTGTTCAGAACACAGGAAAGATTCTGGTCCAAAGAGGCAGAACCCACCAGCAGCAGGACTGGGAACACACCTGTAAGTTATAGGCAGCCCTAGGGGATTTTTGTGTTGGCATTTAATGATACAACATAAATATTTCAGGGGTACCTAAACACGTGGCAGCAATAACAGTGATGTATGTTTGGAATAGTCGCTTAAAACGTAAAATATGTCTAATATAGAAACTAAGTGGAATTTTTTCTTTTGTCAACCGAGAAAATCCAGTAAATTAATAACTTGCCCGGGAGTTAGGAATCAGCACATAGACATACACCGTGAAGACACTATGCAAATAGCTCTCTTGCCATTGAACTCAAATGTAATTGCATAAATATGTTCAAATTGACACAGACAGTACTAATTTAAAAAAAAAAACAAACAAAAAACAAAAAACAACAAAAACAAAACCCCAAACTTGGGAATGAAGAAGATTTAAAACTAAACTGGTTTAAGATGAAACCATTATTAAGGAGGAAGGAAGGTAGAAAAAAAGGAAAGGAGGGGTAGAGGAAGGGAGGGAGGGAGAGAGGCAGGACTAGATTCACTGAGTGTCTGGAGAAGAAATGGTGTTAACTTGCCGACATTGCCTAATCAAGTTCATACCATAAATTACATTTTCTTAGATGAACTAGTGGGGAATGCTAATGGTTTCATATCTCACAGTGTCTTATAACAACTCATACATTAGATGCTCACGACATCTGCATTGAATTCTATTCTTTTTGAATCTCTCCACCTCTACCCTGCTGAACAATATTTACTGCTATCGTAGGCCTTTAGAAGTTAAGATGTGTTTCAAAACAGAATGATTAGTTGGTCTTGGATTTTGGATGGGATTTTTTATTTGTTTGAAAAAATAGAAGAGTGTCTGTTATCAGACTTTCCAGGGTTATCTACAAGGGCTTACTTTCCTATCAATTTGAATCGTAGGCATCTACCATGAATTTAAACTGGTTCTTAAAGAAGATTAAATTCATTTTTATTGCAAATATGGCTCTTTTCCAGCACCTTTGGGAGAAGAAAGGCAGATGAAAAAGAGAACATGATGTGAGCACTGAAAAGACGAGAGGCGCTCAAAAAATGTGAACTGCTGAATTTACTGTCTAGCTATAATGAGGTATTGCTTAACAATTAAGTTAAATTATGCAGCTGTTTCCTAGTATATTGTGCTAATGCATCTGAGAAATTATAATTTTCTGATTGGAGAACGTTATGTGGAGGAAACTGTAGTGTTCCCCATTCCTGCAACAGTTCATTTCATGATTAAAAAAGGAAGCCAGTATTTTTGCAGCTGTCAGGAATAGGCAATAAAGGATGACAATCTAAGGGGGCCTGTTAGTCACTGACACAATAAAATAATCCCAGACAAAAGCTGCAGAAGGAAAAAAGCTTTGAAGGGTAGAATGACACACAGCCACAGCTTATGGGTTTCTGTGGTGAAGTGACTCTATAGCCCACAACTAGCAGGAACAGGTTTGAAGGTCTCAAAGACAAGTGCTGTCACGTGGGATACTTCAAAGACAAGTGCTCAAAAATTTCAGGGAGCTGTGAAATCAATACTTTAAAGCAAAAATTGCATGTACATCAGGGATAAGCATCAGGTTTAACAAAAAAAAAAAAGAAAAAGAAAGTTAAAACCCCAAACCCCAACTTTGCTAACCAGTAAGTCTTAAAAAAGCTGTAACTTTTAAAAAATAAATCTGCTTGGATGAGAATTAAGTAAAAATTGAAGGCTTGCAAAACTAAATAATATTGGAAATATAAAACAAAAGAGGTACACTGGCGCTCCAAATTTTGCATGTGGAATATGCTCATGGGAAAAATGGCTACATAAAGCAGAGAAGAAATTAGGTATGTTAATTGGAGCAGGTGGCTTATTTTATATTATTTAATTTTTGACCAGCTTGGGTTTTTGAGACTATTTAAAATTCCAGCCTAACAAATTCATAAATAAATCTGTATTACCCATTGTTTAAACTTATTTATGCAAAAAAAAATCACAAACCCAAAAACCCTAAATGAAAACACATAATAGCTTTTGAGTAAAAATGAAAGCTTTTCAATTAGCATCCATACTTCATATTATCCTTTTATTCTGATCATTTGTTTTGCATGATTCTTTTGTTTTAGTCAGCATTTCCTTTTAAAAAAAGGTTGAATTGGGGGAAAATATCATTTTATTTCACATTTTATGAGTCTGAATAACACAAAATGAGGTTGTGCCATGCTTCATGACCATGAATATTTAAACATTTTCTATAAATACATTTACTTACTTTTGTTTTAATCTTGTGAAAAAGCACTGCCTGAAAATGATAATGAAGAAGCCTAAGAAAATACCATTTTGAATAATTCTTGCTTTTGCTTTTACCAGTTGTTCCATAAAGGCAAAACAGATTTGGCCTTTTATTTTCCTTGAGTGATCTAATTCTTTAAGCTACTTCTGTACTTGTTTTTTATATTGGGTTACAGTATTATTCATCTGGAAAAGCCTATGATCAAGTGAGTTTCAAGATTTTTTTCAATCTTGTCCACTATTTATCTAAGCTGAAGTTCCCCTAGGCAGAGAGAAAGACTCTGATGAAAGAATTATTTCTGATTCCTAATTTCTCATGGAATGATTACTGAGTTTTTACCCATAGGACAAAATAGTAATTTTTTTTTCTGTTTGGAAAGGGTGAAAACTTGGGAAATCCAACAGAGTAGTAAAATTATTCTTCAAAAACAAACTTGAAGAGAGTTAAAAAAAATTGAAATCTTTAAAACAGAACCCAGGAGTCCACACTCATTTAACTGATTAATTTGGCAGCTGGATTGCATCAGTTGATAATGTGCACTTCTGTTCACCCATCTCACCCTTGCTGTGTGGTGCTCCCTGATATCTGTTCTTGTCCCTTATGAAGTAATTGATGATTTTTAAGACGCTCAGCTGTTATGGACCATTTCTTCTATAAGTTCTTTGCAGACAGGGTGGTCAGGCATTGGAATGGGCTGCCCAGGGAAGTGGTGGTTTCTCCATCCCTGGAGGTTTTTAAGATGACACTGGATGTGGCACTCAGTGCCATGGTCTCGTAACCACAGCGGTGTTGGATCAAGGGTTGGACTTGATGACCTCAGAAGTCCCTTCCAACCCGGCTGATTCTATGATTCTGTGATTCTACCTCTTTTGTGTTTATGGGGTGTGAAGAGCCATGGTTTTCTACCTTTCTGAGACAAGACCTGAGTAAGGTACCTTTTATGCAATGGAGAAAAAAATACTTGTTCTGCTCTGAACCATTCACTGTACTTCCTTGGTGGAGGACCATGGGCCACTCCGAAGATTAACCCTTCTCCAGAGGTTTTCTGTTCCAGCTACAGCTTGTCTTTTTCTCCCTGAAAGCTAAGGAACAGTATGGTAGGTAGTGGATTGCAGATTTAACCTTGAGCACCAAAACTGTGACACGATGTGAAGCATTCCTTTTGGATGTGTCTGTTTACTTTGTATGTTTTTTGGACTGTCATTCATTTTATGCATTTTTTCATGAGCACACAAGCTAGCTTCGTTCTTTTGTTCATGTCCACTTGTGCCTGCAGCACAGAGAGAAGAGCCTTGGGCTTTGCAAGAGCACACACTGGGCAAACTGTGAACAGCTGAGGAAGAATATACTAAATAAAGCCAGGTACTGTTGCTCTCAGGCCTAGTATGGGAGATCAGACTGAAAAAAGATCAGGATGGGAAAAAAAATCAGCTATTACCGTAGGAGTAAACCAGGAAAATGCTAAATTAGTGTGCAATTCTGAAGTACCTTTTCTTGTCAATTTTTTTTTCTCTCTTCTACTAAAGAGGGAATTTGGACCTAATTTGGTGATAATATCCTAAATATGGAGATGCCAAATTAGACAAGAAAATAAACTCCCACCCATGCTGCTACAGCTCTTATGCTTCCAGTGACAGCATGTTTTATGTGTTTGCTTCTGAGCAGCATTTAGACCCTTGCCTGTATGTTAAACTCTCCTAACTTTAGCTGCCTGTCTGCTATAAAGAACATCTTTTCTCTGTGAGGGTGTTGCCTCTGTGAAACCAGGTCCTTCAAAATGATGGATTTAAATAAAAGGAACAATTACATGAGGTGCACTTGACTGTAGAAAGGGACCAGAAAAACACTGTTATCACTGCATTGCTATGTCCATAAATACAGTGGTAACAGTATGTATATGACCATATATGTGTGACATATGGTGTATCTAGTATAAATGTACCTTTTTATTTAGATCTGGGAATAGATAAAAATGTCTATTGCATGTTCATAACCAGTTTCTAAAAGTAGTGTAGTTTGTGTGTTGATATTATGAAAAGTATAAATAAAGGAAACTATTTATGTGCTAAGTTCAATTCTGAGTCTTATAAATATTGTAATATTTTACAAATTACTTGTGCTGTGGCCATATAATAACCACGTACAATTTATGCTTCTTAAAATGGGAGGTTACCACAAAAGTTGTTGCAGATTCTTAACTAGTGACATAAATATTCCACTGTAATCCATACAGCATGAAATCTTTCATTGCCTGTCCCTTGAAGGTATATTATTCAATTTTCATAGTTATAGTACAGTGATAAATTAGAACTTAATGTTGTTATGCCACTAAGCTAACCAAGACTTTTTATGAGCAACTGTCCAAACGGTAAAAATACAGAAAGTAGCCACACTAATGCACAGCACACTTTGTTTTGTTTGTTTGCTTCCCAGGAGCATGAAAACATTTGACCCTTTCTGCTAGTAAATCACTGGGGGCAGGAGGGAATATATATTGACTCCTTTCTTTCTTGGATTACTGTGGCTGTTTCTCTTTTTTCAAGCAGACCAATAAAAGTTTTTACACTTTTTACAGTTTATCAGCCTACATCATCTGAGTTTCTCAAGCAGTACTTGTGGAAATTACCTGTGCCTTAGGCCATAGGGCTCTGTGCAGTTTTACAGTGAGCAAAATGTTCTAAGGAAACTCACAATACATAACAGCTTTTTGACAGAGATTAGTGTATAAATGATATTGTGCCATAATCTAGAAGACAAAGCACTTGAAATAAATTTCATTTTAAGTGAAGTAGGCAAAGTATCAACCTGAGAAAGGGCGATGTTAGTAACAAGGATAAAATCAACATTAAAAAAAAGAGACTGTACCTGAAAGAGATATGTAGATACAACAGATTTTCAGTGCTTACTTATATGTATAGAGGTAGACCAAATTTAGCTATTTTTTTGTGAAAGACTAATTAATTTTATTAGAGAGTAAGTAAATTCAGCTGCGAATCCAAGAGAATCTAATGACTTCCAGAGATTCAGAATGAATTCAGCAATAAAAGCTAATTAGAAGGGAAATGGATGCCCAAAATATCCCTGGTGTGCATAAAGAAAGAGTATAAAGACCATTAATTGAAATTAAAATTTAACAGTAGCCTAATGCTGCCTGACATAAAATTCCATCTGTTGTGCAGAGCCACTAAACAAAGATACATGGGGAACAGTGCGTGGTGTCTCAGCTCTGTATTTTAATGTCAAACCACTCCACACAACAAGAAATCTGATGTTCAGAAGAGTCAGGTTAGGGCGTGATGATTCCTGTAGCTATTGAATTAGAGAGGAAAAACTGAAAGTGATGCTACACTAGTGAGACATTTTATTTTTAGTGAAGTAGGTGGGGTTTCTTTCTGCTTGTTTTATCCTTACAATACAGGCACCCATGTATTTTAGACATATAGGCTGTCCAAGCCTTTCTTGGGGACACCCATGTGGTGCAGGCACGGAATCAGCAACAAAGTCAGTGTTCTTTCTTGAAGCATCTCATCTGAAATGCCATGGAAGTTTCTGTAGAGCACGTGTAAGGAAGAAAATGAGAGCTTTGAATAATTTATCCTGGAATGTCTGACTTCTTGTGCTGTTCACAAAATGTCTGTGAACGTCTTTTTTGTTGTTTGGTTTTTAAAGACTGATTAACAGTGATTGCTGTAACCAGTTTCAGTGCACACATCTCTGGCATGAATTCCCCTGAACCAGTTTTCAAAATGTGGACTGATCTATTGATGAAAGGTAGTTATATGGTATTTGCATTTCCATATTAGATGATCACAGCTATAATAATTCCATTTTGATGACTAGAGACATGCAGCAACCAAAACCAATATTGTTTGGTAAATGACATATGTATTAGTTTATTTCGAGAGGCTTTATAATTATTGAGAAATTCCCAACATGACAATTTTCTTTTCAGCTTTATGTGTTAGACTGGAACATCAGCTTTACTGAAAGTGAATCTAACAAAGTATTGTATGATTCTTAGCACAACATGACTGTGGACTGTGATTGTTATCTGAGGCTAACTGCATGCTGAATAGGCCATAATGTCAAATTAGATGCTACTTGAGATTCATATGGTACATTTTCTGAATGCCTACATGTGCATTAGTAATTCAGCACCTCCATTCTGGGATGTCTCTCAACGCAGAGTTAGCAGCTACCACAGAACACATATAGGGAAAGAAAATAACAGGTTGCAAGGAGAGTCACCATCGTGTTGTGTCAGTGAGACACAAAAGTCCTTTAGACAAAAAAGTTATTTAAATAGAGATCGAAGCAAAGTTGTTTACAATAGAAAATTCTGCGAGTTAGCAGGAAGGGGAAGAATTAGAATCAAAGATAAAAACAAATTCACATTCAGCAGTTTTAGGGATATTTAGCTGAAGGTAATTAACCCTTGGATGAAGCAGCAGCAAAATAAATGGGGATAACCTATTTTTTTTAGTCTAAGACCAAGGTTCACCGTCTTTTTGGACAGTCCTTTTAATTATTAATAGTATGCAAAATATAAATGTAAACAGCTTGCTAACAAGGATATTTGTAATCTTGATTTTGCAAATTTATCCAAAAGAAGAGCAAAGAGGTTTTTACAGAGTAGAAAAACACTATTCTAGATCTAACTATTTCTTGAGGGAGCCATTAGTAAATGCAACAGCAATGGTAAACAGTGGTATTAAAATGTAAAGACAAAGCAGGTGTAACAAGCTCTTGCCAGATTGCCAGCCACTCTCTTTGCCAGGCAGAAACCAGGTAATTCAGCTGCAGTATGTTCTGTGAGTTACAGAATAGACCAACTGGCAGATGGGGCAGCCATGGCAGGAGGTGGGATAAAATTGCCTGCCTTGCATATACGTGCTCCGTGGCTTGCAGTCCATTCTGTGTACTGGGCTCTTGCTGGCCCATCACCTTGTTCATCTCCTCTCATTGCTCTCACCCTGTGTATTTGTGAGCTACAAAGTACTACGGTAACTTTGCAATTAATAAGAAATGTGCATCTCTTATGTCACTCGTAGCTCAGCATTTCACCCACATCTTCCACTAAGCATACCTGTAAGAACAAGTCTCTTAGTGGGCAGCTGTTCTCCTATTTCCCAAAGTCCTTGTTGTTGCACCCCTTAGACTTGGCATTTTCTGAAACATTTATTTCATTTTTACTGTTTTGTTATCAGTATTTGATTCAAAGTACCTGTTATAGTGTTTGTACTATTCCCAAAACATTCATTTGGGATGAGAGAGATAAGTGACTGGCTATGTATGTGTAGCACCAAAGTTAGGTATCCATACGTTTACTGACTTCGTAAGTTGTGTTTAGGTAGTTCAGTGCATCTATATGAAGCTGGTCAGACTATCTTTAATTCCTTTACCAGTAGTAATCTTCATCTGTAATAAATTGCAAAGTGTGTGTACAAATAATGTTGTCCATTAGTGAGATATCTGAAAACTTCTGTATGCAAATGTCCCTCTCTTTCAGCCTAGATGTAATGATTACATACATAGTATTTATAAACATATGGTAAGTCATTTTACAGAATTCATTTCAGTATTGCAGGATACATGGGAAAAATATTGTAAAAGCCATCTGTATGCAAGTAAGATAATGAGAGGTGTGACAGGCAGGTTGTTAACTGTGAAAATCCTAATATCTGCTGTATTGTTATTGCACTTGTCCTTTTTTATCATGCAGACAATGACAAAATGTGAACTCGTTACTCCTTCACAGAGCTTCAGCTTTTGAACACCAGACATTATCAACATAAAATGGGCATGTAGGTAAAGCTAATAAAGTTTCTTTTTCTATTTACTTTGTTTTTTAAAACATATCTATTAAGTACTTACAAAAGTTAAAGAGAAATGAGCTATTGCTTTAAAATTTGACAGCAAGATAGTTAACATCACTCTGTCACATCTCTCCAAAAGATTAATTTGCATGATGGAAGTATTTTCTCTGTCATTATCCAGAAACAGAACTGCAAAAGAATACCAATTTCCATCGTTATTTTTTTCCAAGTACCTTGTATAAAATCACAATGTGTTGAGAAATAGAAAACTTAGTTGTCACCCTGCAAAAAGTCACAAAGAATGAACATGAGTAGGACAGTATTTCATGCCCAAAAATTGTAAACACGGTCTACACGTGCTTCTTGAGATGTTGTGAAATCGGTGTCTCTAGTAACATAGACACAACATTTTTATTTATCAAATAGCTTTATCTTAAAATGTTTGTTGGTTTTGTTGGTTACTTTTGGATACTTTACTTGTCCAATTTAAGTCTGTGACGTGGAATGATGGCAAGGCCCAGTTTTAACATCATGGCTAAAC